ATATATATATATAATAGTGAATTCCTTGGTTTTCATGTCTCGTCATGATTAATAATTTTGAAAACTGTTACCATAGGCCATGACCCGCATTTTTGTTTACAAAATTAGTATCTGATTTTAGACCTGTGACTGCGCCCACTGTGTACATAAACAATGGCGCAAATATCGATGGTGTTCATTCGTTATACAGTACCGGTACTGATTAATTCGATTTTAGATGAATTTTATTTATTTTTTGTTTATTGTTTGTGATTTTCAGCACAAGGTATTATTTTTATGTTATGTTATTTTACTGCTGATTTTCTGATGATGTTTGACTTTTAATTTATGGAGGTCTATTTGTGATAATAATTAGGCCTAATTAGGCCTATATAATATTTTAAGATTTTTGGATTTTTAGTGATGCATTTTGCAGTAATTTTAATAATTTAAAAAAAAATGATTCTTGGTTATTCAATTTGATGAATAATTGAAGTTATTGATATTCCCAGACTGTCTCCCTATTCATAAAAATCATGATGTTGAATGTGAAATTTAAAATGTTAACACGAAGAATGTCTGATGCCATCAAACGCGGTAACAACCTGCAGAAATGTTGGTTTTGAAAGGGAAGCCCTTGATGGCAACCTACGTGCGAGGTTGTACTACCCGGTAGGACCGGTAGGCCTATCAATTGGATTTTGCATACCAGTCTAACCCGATTCACACGACAGACACGTAGCCTACAAATTAAGCGGGATAAGGCCTATCTGTAAATAAGTATCTGTAAAGATTTCTTTATTTATCATAATTATTGTTTTTTTAATTATTATTATTATTTTAACCCAGAAACCTTATTGTAGAAATCGGTAGTTTCGGGCGGGGTATAGTTTTACTATTTAAGTTAGTAAGTTAATCTTTTTTATTTTTTGTATAGGGTTCATGGGAAAAGCTTTGCTTGTTTTCGAGTACATTTCATCATCTCTGTTCTTCAATTTTGCCATGTTAGGTAGGCCTCGTTACTGGATTTTACTATTTTATTTGCTGTTTGAATTTGAATTGGAATAAAATTTATGCTTGAATTGAATTGAAGGTTCAGTATTATTTTTGGAGCGAACTCGATTAAAGACTTTAGAACTATAGTTGCAATCCACAAGATTGGTGTGTTAACAAAATAATGCCAAATTATGCTTGTCACTAGGCCTAATCACAACAACAGATGCCCGGGCCTAATTTCATGTACGAACAGGCATTTTATTTTATACAATGGCATTAATAAATACAGTATACTGAAACAACTAGAAGAAAATGTAAGCCTATAATCCAGTATAGGCATACATAAAATCTTGATAGGCCCGGATACAAACACAGCTAAACACGGCATTTCATTACAATTTTTGTCATTTGCATCATTCATAAAAAAAAAAAAAAAAAAAAAAATAGAAATTGGGTTTTTTTCTAAGACACATCAATACAAAAACTACAAAAAAAATATGCCAAAATACACCATCGCCATTATCTCATCCTCATCATCTTACATATTATCACCATCATCATTACCTGACTTGTATCATCGATTGTTCTCACCTCATGACATCATCATCATTTGTCCTCATCATCATCTTATTATCACCATTAACACCATCATCATTACGTACTATAAGCAATAAAACTTAATTTTAATAATTATAACTAACTTTCAAACTTTGTCAACCAAATAAGGATATATCTACGGAAATAATGAATACAAAATATTGTGCAGGTACTGTACGTTTATTTTGGTTGGCCTAATTGGAGCATGCGCTATCCGAATCAATGCGGTTATACAGCGTGTACACTGATGATGACGACTTGCTGACACGATACATCATGGATTGCATCAGCACGCGATGACATTATTAGCCCCCTAACTTATCCAAAATATTAGTGAATTTATTACATTTAATTGACGTTTTATAGTTAACAAATTTTTGTTATAGAATACTTTATTATTTAATTAACCGTTTAAAATGATTAGATGAATATAATTTAAAGGTCATAATTTACACTGTAAACATTTCAGAAGGCAGCTACTAACTGACTGAAAAATAATTATTTTGTGAAGACTCCGAAACATGGCAGACAAGCTTGCTGATGGTGTGGTTAATCTCGACATAAAGGACGAGAAAAAGGCACGATAACCATTGAAACTACCCATATTCACCTTAATTCTATGTCTCCTTTTATATTTAGAAGTTTTTTGAGAATACCAAGTCGAATTTATCTCAGGAACGCTTGCAAAACAATGAGCCACGAACCGGTCAGTCTGTGTTTCAACACACCCTCCATCCACTGAGTATCTAATCCATTGCGAAGGTTGCATGCGCGACACATGGACTGGTTTGTAGCAACACACCCAGTTGTAATCCATTGCAGAGCAGAGCCTCAGAGGTCGTGTAACTCATGCACAGCTGGCCTATACTTTGCTTACTTGGCGCTCTAGGCCTACACTAGGCCTAGCCTAATGACCTAGGCCTATATGGTGTGATGCCTTATTGTTTATTTGCTAAATATTATCAAATCAAAAACTCAGCTGTAGTACTTTTTCAAGAATTGGTTAGGCTTAGTTTAGTTAGCTATTGTTGCCTAGGCTACCTAGCTAGCCTACTAGGCCTAGTTAGGCCTACCTAGCCTAGCCTAGGTAGGTAGGTAGGCACTTATCCAAACCCATTGATCTCTTCTATTATACTGGCTGGATGGCGCTAATGCACTTTCGCACCTAACTTTTAAATTTTAATTTTTTTGCCTTAGTGTTCTTACACAGTCAGAACATATATATAATTATAAAACATTTTTACATGATTCAACCACCCATAAAGTACATTTTTCAACAAATAAGTACAGTACAAAACAGCAAGCCTGTGCTCGCTAGCATGAGAGAGCTGCAGCCATTTGCAATCAGTAGGAAACTGCCAGAATGTCTGAGTTTACAGTACAAAGTTTTATGTAATTTAAACGTTTATGAAAGCTTATTTATTTGCGTTCGTATGTCATTTCAGTTATGCTTTATATTTTACAGTATGGTGGTGGTGTTTGATTATGATGTGTAGCACATGAAATTAACATGTACGACACAGACAGTTAGTAAAAGATCCAAATGTGTACACAGACATACAAATAGGGCCTGGCCCCTAGGCCTAGACCTATTTAACGGCATAATCCAGCAGAACCACTACCAATGCTAAACGGTGATTCGATAAACCTCGATTACGACAAGAAAATTAAACAAAAAGATGGTACTTCATGATGCCACATTTTCTTGTCGGATGTTTCATGGGAAAATTCCGATTCAAATTATAAGACTGCACTTTAATAGTTTCAAAATTTAAGAATTGACTCTTACATTCTGGCAATTTTCTAACTGATTGCAAAACAGTACAGCTCGTCGTGCTAGCAAGCGGGGAAACGCTGTATCAACCTGTATTTGTAAAGGTATCTATCTAACCTCAATTACGACAAGAAAGTTAAACAAAAATATGGAACTTAATGATGCCACATTTTGTTTGTCGGATGTTTCATGGGAACAATTCAAATTTTAATTGTTTCAAAATATAAGAATATATTCTGGCAATTTTCTACCTGATTGCAAAACTAAACAGTGAAGCTCGTCGTGCTAGCAAGCGATGAAACGCTGTATCAACCTGTATTTGTAAAGGTATCTATCTAACCTCAATTACGACAAGAAAGTTAAACAAAAATATGGAACTTAATGATGCCACATTTTGTTTGTCGGATGTTTCATGGGAACAATTCAAATTTTAATTGTTTCAAAATATAAGAATTGACTCGGATATTCTGGCAATTTTCTACCTGATTGCAAAACTAAACAGTGCAGCTTGTCGTGCTAGCAAGCGTGGAAATGCTGTATCAACCTGTATTTGTGAAGGTATCTTTTTTGTTGGAAGATGTACTTTGTGAATGGTTGAATCATGTAAAAATATTTTATACTTACATGTTGTGACTGTGAGAAGAACACTGAGGTAAAAAATTTAGGAATTAAAAGTTAGGTGCGAAAGTGCATTAGCGCCTGCTTGGCTGCTCATCTTTGACTGGTTTTAACTTTTAGTGAAGCCACTGGACTCCATCACGTTGTGATAAATCTACCATGCGTACAGGTGATCAAATTGGCTGACAAAATGCCATCTTGTGCTTTAGTAAACTGCAAAAACAGGCGCGTTCGTGGATGTGGAAAGACATTTCATAGGTAAGTATTCCAAAAATCAGTAATTTAATATTGAACTGAGCACAGTTGCCCAGACTTTCTTATATTTATCTTTACGCTATGGCTAGGTCCGGTACTGGATCCGTTTTCATTCAGGTCTCGAGATCCAGTAGTGGATTTTGACGAATCAGAAGCAAGATGAATATAATGGTACCAAATTTTCTGACCCGAACGACAACAGATTTGGTACCAGACCTCTAGCCACAGCATTATTTTTCTTATTTTTTTTGTATTTATTTTATTGTTATTGTTGTTCATTGTATTTTAGTGATGAGTATCAAATAAATCAAACATTGTTTACATAGCAGCAACCCACTGTTGCCATCATAAATGTAACAAATTAACAAATCATCTGCGTGCATATGTATGCTGCATAAGTGTTACGGTGAAATATGTAGGACGAACACAAATGGGCTAGGTTAATTCATTCAAATTATGCAGTAAGATGCAATTGCTGTATTCTGCTATATTTAATATGCTCATTCATTCATTCAAAAAGCTTATTTTTATCCATGATTTAAATAGTATACAACTTTGTCTAAAAACCGAAAGGTCCACTGATTAATCTCAGATAAGATAGTAGTATAATACATACTCCAAGTATCAAAATGCACACGTTTTGTCTAAAAAAGTATGAAGATCCTAATAAGCTTAAAGAAATTTCTAAAGTTTTAATTTTTTAAATTTTATTTATATATTTAATTGCAACATTATACCAAAATGCCAGTCACTGCAACAGAGGTAAAGGACAAACTTTTTTAGCCTTCTCCCTCATTTTTTTGCACAATTCTCTTTTGGAAATTATTATAGTCTTTAATAACAAAACCAAATGATCAAACAAAACTCAATATTAAAACAAATTTGAATGCAATATCAAGTTTTGATTTTCTTAAAATTACCAAAATTACAAACATTGCAATAAGAATTAAATAATTTTTGTTATAATTAATTTAATGTATACCATACTTCCTAAAAAAAATCGGAAAAACACTCAAAAACCAAATAAAAAATTTGAGCTGTTTATTTAAAACTATCAAATAAGTTATGAACTTTTAACCAGAAACATGAAAGTTATTGACCGGGAAATCAATCTGATTTTTTACTGTAAGTTAATAACCTACATAAAATATAGAATTTTTTTTCAGCTCATGACAAACAGTATATCTTTATCATTGAAGAAAAAGTCTTGATCCAATATATATTATAAATTGGTGTACGATCTTTAAAAGCAATTATTAAATATAGATACAGTACTAGTTGACAAATCTTCAACAAATGTTAAATGTTAATGTTATGTTGAGTCTTTCTGACTCATTGTTCAGTTGAATACTGCTTTATAATTACAAATAGTTTTGTACCTCAGTTATTTATTTAAAATTTCAGATTTCCATTCAGTAAACCTATTGTATTGGAACAATGGATTGTGAACATGAACCGAGGTGATTGGAGACCATCTAAGAATTCACTACTTTGTTCAGACCATTTTGAAGAATACTGCTTCGATAGAACTGGTCAGACAACAAGGATCAGAGAAAATGCTGTGCCTACAATATTTGACTCTTCAGCGAATATACAGAAAGTAATTGGTTTTCGCTACTATTGTTTATAGTTATTTTTATATAATTTTTCAATTGCATAACAATTATGAACCCCTATTAAGGGACACCTTTGGTACCAAAATAATGTCCCCCTAATAGGTGTGTTCCCTGAATATGGGTTGGCCTTAGTGTTGAAAGATATAGTTTCTCTCATTTTGTGAATGAAAAAGTGTCCCTTAATAGGGGCATCCCAAAAGAGGGTTTCTACCGTAAGTCTGATTTTTAACTACTTGACTGTGATTTTTGGGGAGGCGCGAGTAATTTTTGAGGGGGCGTGCGCCCCCCCACGCCCTCCCCTAGATATGGATTAAAAATATTAATTTCTTTAAACCCACTTACTGTTAGCAGCCTAAAAAAACTATTGTATTTAATATAAGATTTAATTTTTAGCACAATATTATTCACTTTTATTACATCTTGCAGTGTACGAAGAAACGAAAATCAACTGAAGAGCAATTGTCTTTCCATGAGGTGAAACGGCCTGAAATTCCTGCATTCAAGACCGACCATTCATACTTCACAAGCGAAGGTCCACAATCTACCAAACATAAATTAAATGCTGCACTTGAAAGGATTTCTTCCATGAAGAGCAAGATAAAAACCAAGCAGCAAAAAACTCGACGACTTCATAAGAAAGTATCCTCTTTGAAAAATATCATTGCGGCAACTCGGAAAAACAATATGATTTCTAGGAATGGTGCAGAGCTTTTGCTAAATAAATTTTCAAATACTCCATCAAACGTAATGAAAAGAAAGTTAAACAAAAAAGTAAGAAGGAAAATTACCTGTGAAACGTACCAATCTGAACTGACAACTTTTGCTGTAACATTGCAGTTTTATTCAACAAAGGCATACAAATATATCCATAAAACATTGTTTTACCACACCCTTATACAATACAAAAATGTTACAGTTCCATTAGTGGTGTACAAGGTTTTACACATGAAGCCTTTTCTGCCCTTCAACTTGAGGCAAAGCGAGCAAAAATAGAAGAATACAGAAGTATTATGTGCCTTGATGCTTGATGATGGCAATCAGGAAGTATGTATGTTGGGAGGGGCAGTCTACGTTGGTGTTTCGACATTGGAACGGTGTTCAGTGGTGACAGCTCGCCTGTAGCTACAGCCATTATAGTAGAGATCAGTGGTCACAATACATTACTTGTAGATGCCTAGGTAGGGTAGGCTAGAACAAGAGTGTGGGCATAGGCCTGACCTCCTGACTGATCCCATTCACAACAACATGATACAAATTTTAATATAAAACATGGTTTTTACAGGTAGACAATGCTGCAAGTCAGAAACAAACAAAGTCGAAAGGAAAAGATAAAAAAGGTGGCGATGGATCAAAGACAAGTGCAGTAGAGGTTGGCATCATTTTCAGCATGAATGTTTTTTTTTTCTGAATTTCTTGAAACATTTATTCACAAATTACATATTACATAGTATACATAGGCATCAAAAGAAGAAGTTGCTTCTCAGTTTGAAAACCAAACATACAAAAACAGGATGCATGGGAAGACAGCCAAAAATTTAATTTGGGATTGTTGACACTTCCTGGAAGGAATTCAAGTGATTATCTTCATCAACTTAATGTCATTTTCATTTACAACTTTCCTTTAGGCCAAAAAAAAATTATTGTGTTGTGTTTTGGGAAAATCCAAAAATAGATAGGTCAGAATTTTTTTTTTTTTTTCTTTTTTTACACCAATAATGTGTTTATGGCTAAAAAGTAGAAAATACACACACATACAACAAAGACCATTGTTAAATTTTTTTTGTTGTAGCAACAGAAAAAAAACCTAAAATGCCGACCCTCTATTTCGAACATTTTGTGTCAGTCATCGGGCATTGCCAACACAATAATTTTTTTTATTTGGCCTTATTCATCAACATGTCATCCTCACAAATACATCATTCAACTTGGAGATTCTCATCATGTAACAGTAATCATGGTACCATTGACATTACCAACAACATCCTCTTCATCGTTGTCATCACCCAGTTTTTATCACCCAGTTGTCATGCATTTAACATTATCATCAGCATTATTTTGTTAAAGTACACGCACATGTAAGTATGCCACATAATGTTAATACAATAATATTTATAATTTTTTTTGGAGGGGGGGGGGCGTAAAAATAATTTTGTATTTACTATTTTAAACATAAATATAGTGCAAAATTGTTTAATAAAGGTTTATAATAACAGTGTAATCTTTTATAAATCAAGGAACTTATCTCTTCCCATTTCCAGTTTACCTTCCAAAATTGATTGATTAAAATAATATTTTTTTTTATGGTGACAATTTTTTTATGTATTTATTATTTTAAACATATTTATAGTGCAAATTTATTTAATGTAAATTTGTAATAACAGTATAGTCTTTTATAGTTATAGTTAAAAGGAATCATGGAATTTATCCTCTCCTATTTCCAGGTTAACTTCCAAAATTGTATTCCAAGTTTCGATTTTTCTGCCTAAAGACTCTGTGGCTAAAACATAAATCCAGATTTTCTGTGATTATTTCCTGGGGTTTATTTTTCCCCATTGGGGCATGTGGGCCTGAAGCTGGCTTCCCAAAAGTCTCTACCTTAATCTGGCCCTGCTTGATTGTGCATGGGAGACCATTCCAAAATTTTTCTCTAGAATTAATAAATATCATTTTTCCTACTTTTTTTTTGCAGTTGAACCCTTGGCCAGAATACATCCAAACACGTATTGATTTGTTTGACAAATTGAAAGCAAAATATTTGGAAGATCTTGCAGGTAAGTGTCGTAGAGTTGTGCATTTTTTTAACCTGAATTTGTAATAATCTAAATATAGATGGATAATTTTTTTTTTTTAATTGTACCCTAGTAGTAATATATATAGTAACTCTGATGGTCTTTGGTTTGTTTTGTTTTTTGTCAGCCAAGGAGCAAAGCCCTATCAAGGTTACTCTTCCAGATGGAAAGGTTGTGGATGGCCAGTCTTGGAAAACTACCCCATATGAGGTTGCTAAGTCTATAAGGTAAAACCAAGTCTCTAATATATTTATGAAGCCTAATGCACACTTCATTGGCTAATGTTGCATGAGGATAGCAACATGATAAGTTGTGTGAGCAGGGGTGGCGCCAGGATCTGCTCGGGGGGGGGGGAGTTCCCCGATAGTGTCCTGCTTAGGCTGCCACCAACAGTCTGCTGATGGTATCGGGCTTAAGGACTCACTATGCGCGAATTTGTTTGTCTCTGATTGGCTGACATTTCGTGCACCAAGCTTTAGGCAACACAACAATGAGGACAACGGTAATATTTGTAAATTAACTTTTAAAGTGATCATATTTGCTGTTCAACTTAAATGCAAGCAATATTAAACTGTCAGTATACATGTTGCTGTTGCTGCTGCTAATAATAATATAAACATACATATGCCCCAAAAACTAGGCTCAGATGATGACTTAGATTGAGGTCTCCAGATTGTTCAGTGAGGAGTAATCTCAACTGATGAGCTTAGCTAAATATAAACTAATTGATAATAAGCAATTAGTAGAGCTCTGCATAGTACACTATAGGAAAATTATTATACAAGGGTAGATTTTTGAATGCATTAAATCTAAGTATAGTAATTTTCCGCTAGTGTACGAGGCACGCTCTACTAATTGCTTTATAAGTCAATCACCATCTTTTAATGTTAATTTTGATAACCAACTGTTGTAGCAGTCATCGGTTGCTATAGTGATATGATCAGTATACTGTGTGCGTATTTAGATTTAGCTGTGCATATGCTGATTTGTGCTCCTGCAGTACGCGTTAACTACACACCAGCAGTACCAGTATGGGTACGATGAATAACTATTGTAATTTGTATTGTGTTAGATTAGAAGAACTTGTTTGTAATGCTATTTTGATAGATATTCGTCAAAGAAATAGACATTTCTTAAAGCATTCTAAAGAGAATACAGACACTGACTTTTTGGTCGGTGCAGACAGGTAAAAATCATCATGCAATGATTTCATAAGTACGCTATGCTATGATGGCCTAGAGAGGAGTCCTCGGCGGCCTCCTCCCTGGCTGTAGACCTATTGTACATCTAATTTTGTTCCTTGAGTCTTTGAAATATCTCTAGAATATTCCTATTAAACATTCAGTTTGTTTAGTTTATTAGGGTTCATTGATTCAAGGAATTCCTTAATTGTTCATACCTAATATTGAATTTGAAGTAACTTTCTTCAGGTTCTATTTAACCTTGTTTTACGAAAGTAATTTTCAATTTTAATTCAATTTTCTTTGGGGTGCGCGATATTTTCGCAGTGACAAAAAAATTAGGTATTTTTTTTGCACACAAACCTAGAAAAATCAAGCCAAGCGTCCACTTTGTGAAAAACTATTGGACTGTGAGGATAGGGAAGTAACATTGGGAGTTGCAGTGATGATTTAACGATTGACTTATAATAATGATTAATACTATCATTATCTACAACTAATGAACATCACTGTATGTTTTTATTTATTGGCAGTCAAGGTCTTGCAGACAATTCAGTCATTTCCAAAGTGAATGGAGAATTATGGGATTTAGACCGCCCTCTAGAGGCTGATTGTAGCATCCAGCTGTTGAAGTTTGAGAATGAAGAAGCACAGTCTGTGTTTTGGCACTCAAGTGCTCATATTCTTGGTGAAGCCATGGAACGTCATTATGGTGGATGCCTATGCTACGGCCCTCCAATTGAAAATGGTTTTTATTATGATATGTTTATTGAAGACAGGTACTGGAACATAATTTTTTTTTTATTAATAATAAATAAGATAAATATAGTACTCATACCCACTTTGAAGAACAATATAAGCAGAAAAGTTAAGTGCGAACTATGCGTTTCAGTTAAGTGTTGTCTGAGCATGTGTTACTAGGGAGCTTTCGCTTTGCGCGACGATGTGACGCTAGAACGGATTCGCTCATCCTTGATCGTCATACGTTTTCTGCACAACTTATATTCAGTCAAATTGAGTCCTAGAATTCATACGACGAGAACTTAACATTCTTCCATGCGCAGATGACTTTACTTGACGTCATTACCTTCTACCGCCTACCGTCGTCGTGCAGTTGAAAACTCCTACTACCATGCATTGCTCTACTTTTCAAGGAATGTTGATATGATTCGACTGACCATGCATGCGTAAATAAGTAACTGATTTAGCCACCATTTCAGTAACTCCTATTATATTTTAAGTGTTATTATGAAGCAAGGCTATTGCAATAGCAATCTTAACTGAGTTTGTTGATCTGTATTTTTTGTAACGACTGTAAAATTGCTATTTTAAACTTAAATAATGTACGCTTTTAGGTAATATATTTTAATCTTTAATTAATTCTACTTGTTTTTGTAAAACTTGATTCTGTTTTTGACTTTTGTGATTTTGTAGTTTTGAGCTTGTCAACAAAACAAATTTCCTTTTTTTGGACTAATAAAGTTTCTGTATTCTGTATTTAACACTGTTATATTTATAAAGTGATAAAACTTTTTATTGTTGTATAATTTACAAATGTCAATATTATATTTGTTCTTGTTTGTTAACACTAATATCAGACATCTATTTTTTAAATAGGCAAGTTTCAAGTAACGAATTTAGCTCCCTTAACCAGATTGTGAAGTCTGCCATCAAAGAAAAGCAACCATTTGAAAGACTAGAGATGACTAAAGAGGACCTGCTGAAGATGTTTGAGGTAAGAACAAATGACCTTAATCCAATCTCAAACCAGAGTGGCATCAGGTACCAGAAAGTTACCAAAAATCTGGCTTTACAAGTTCTCTGTTCTTAAATTTTGACATAGCATCATACTTCGAACTCTTTAAATTACTTATAAGAAACATACTTTCATTACATCAAATGATGGTACAGGTACAGAACATTTACCGTAAATGTAACCCATTACTCAATTAGTAACCCCCTTCTAATAGTAACCCACCATAAAAGTTAATCTATAATAATAGCCCACTACTCAAATAATAACCCATGGGGTTGCTATTAGAGTCACCAAAACAAAATGACATTCAAGTCAACATTTTTGTCACTACCTATAACATGATTTATTCCTTAAAATAGGCATTCTTCACAATGTGATTGCATCGTTGTTGATCCTTTTTTGAATTTAATCCTTTTTGAGTTTATAAATTAAATTAAATCAACAAAGTTAATGTAGTTAGTTATTTATTTCTATGAATTGCTGATGCGAAAATCTCAGGGTGGGTGGAGGTTTACTATTTTCAAGTGCCTACATTAAGCTTAGTAATAGTAACCTACTACTCTAATAGTAACCCAACCTAAGAAACAAAGAATAGGGTTATTATTAGAAATTTTATGGTATGCTGAGGCGCTGAATGCAAAAGTCAACTGTCTCATCTCCCCAATGTGTATTACAAATTTGAATATGCTAACAGGGAAAAAACTTGAAACTGACATAAAATTAGCTTGACTTAATGTTTGTGCATAGAAAGAGAGAAATAGATTGTTTGAAATGTTAAATGTTCTATTTATTTTACAGTACAATCCATTCAAACAAAGGATTCTAAATGAGAGAGTTACTACTCCTACTACAACTGTTTACAGGTAAAAAGATCTTATGCTGATCCTTTACGCATCACTGTTCTCTGTCTTTATGGCCTTTGTCCCTACCCCTTGATGCGTAGTTTGATTAGGTTGGGATATGCGGATCATTAGGGCCTTAGTGGAGTGACATCCCTACCCCAGGATGCATAGTTCATTTAGGGTTGCGGTATGTTGGTCGGGGAACCAGTCATTTCGAGCGGATGCCACTTTGAGCGAATGCCAGTTCGAGCGGTTGCTAGTTCGAGCGGAGACAAGATTCACTTGTGTGAACAACAGCCTGTGTGAGTTATGTACGAATTACTTTAAAATTTCCTATTTTGAGCTAACAATCTACATTCGGCCGAGGCTCTTTGTTTGGGAGCCAGGCACTGGTGTATCTAGGGGTGCGCAGGGGTGGGGGGGCAGATGCCCCTCCAAAAATTACTCCCCCCCCCCAGTCGTTCCCCCCAAAAAGAAATCAATTGCAAGTAGTTAAAAATCACCTAAAATCACCTTATTTTGCGAGTTAGCACCCCTCAACTGATCATCGAACCCCCCTACTTCACCTTTGCGCCCCCAATCAGCACCCCCATTTCAAGACTTCTAGATATGCAACTAGAGCCAGGGGAAAAGTCCCGGTGGGTTCTGGGGGAGAAGCCTATGCCTTATGTATAAAACAAGTTGTATTTAATTGATTTATAAGGTTAACAATTTACAATTAAACATACCTACGTTCATAAATATAATGCTTAGTCATTGTTATTCTTTCCACATGCTAAGTTAAAAAAAAAGTGGGTTTTGAACTATGTAAACGAATTGTTGAATAGTGGAGAAAATTGGTATGATGTCTATTACTGTGCTGTTGATAGTCTTGTCACAGGGGCTGGAGGATCCAGAATTTTTCAAACGGCGGGGTCGGGGCACAACAGTTTCACAATAGTTAAAGTGAGTAGCACATAACATTAATATGCATTGACATTTTAAAAATTTAGTGGCAAGACGAGGGGGGCACATGCCTCCCCGTGCCCCCTACACGTCACTGGATCCGCCCCTGTGTCACACTACTACACCAATGGTTTATGCACCATCTGATACCATATACGTAAAAATAATTTAAATTTCTATGGTGAATAAAAAATACATTTGCAATTACTCCCATTTACAAATACAGGCCTAAGTCGTAAATCTACATTTAATAATTAATACTGTTAAAACACTACAGTATATAATTCAACTAACTGGAGACAAAAACCGTGAATTCTACGTGCGAAATTCTATAGTATTAAAATATAGGGCCTAAGTACTTTCTAGAGGCCATCTTTTAGTCAGATTTGCCAAGACTGTAATTCAAACATGAAATAATTATCAAAAAGTACCAAAAACATTTCAGAACTTTAGTGCACAGAGCATTTTTTGCATTTAAAACAAATACAAAAATAGAGCAACCATAAATTCACCCTTGTTGTAGTTCGCACTAAATGCATCCTCTTGAACTGGCATCCGCTCGAACTGGCATCCGCTCGAACTGACATCTGATCGAACTGACATCTGCTCGAATTGACTGGCAAACGTCGGTCGTTACTGTCTTAGTGGAGTATTACGTCCCTACCCCATGATGGGTAGTTTGATTAGGTTGGGGTATGTGGATCATGATGGGTAGTTTGATTAGGTTGGGGTATGTGGATCATTAGGACCTTGGTGGAGTAGCATCTCTACTGATTGAATTTAACCTCTTTCTGCTAAAAATATGTTATTGCTGTCCTATGATACCTCCCACCTGTATTGCTTCTGCCATTATTTTTTTGAATATCATCTGTAATAAAAAATTAAAAAAAACCAATATTACTTACTCTCTTGGCTGAATTTATATTATATTTTGAACAATGCATATGAAATTAATTATGATTTCATATGTAATTGGTTTTTATAAAGCTTTATAATATATTTATTAATGCTTCCATAATTCAGTTGTATTATTGGTAAGTTTTTTTTTGTATTGGGCTACTTGAAAAAAGCTGAAATTGATTTGATCCCCTGTGTATTTTTACTACTTATGTAGATGACTTTTTTTTTGGTTCATTTAAATGTTACTTTCCAATTTTGCTGCACAGTTGGAAAATCATTTTTGATTTGAATGATTTATTATAAATTTGGAAGATCCATTATAATATGAATAATTAATTTCTTTGCCTGCAGATGTGGACCACTTATTGATTTGTGCCGTGGACCTCATGTCAGACATACTGGCAAAATCAAGGCCTTTGATATTACAAAAGTAAATATTTTATTTTTCATGGAAACAAGACGTACAAACTTATGTTTTTTGAGAATAGAGTTGGTTTTAATGATGAGAAAAAAGTACAGGGAACTTTATGCTGTCAAGATTGGAATAATAATGTACACAAATATATAACACACTTATTTTTATGTGTTTGGTAACTGACTAAAGTACTTGGTTCAGATGATGACTTACGAGGAGGTCTCGAGATTCTTCAGTGAAGAGTAATCATATCTGATGAGCCTAACCAATTGTTAAGTAGCCTACTTTGCACACTGGTAAATTTAACATGTTAGCATGTATGGCTCATATGGTGTTTCCAAACTTTAGTCAGTTTCTGTAATGCTGCCCTCTGATATGACTAATCTAGTGTACAGAGAACTGTGTATGAGCTATGCAATGTTGGAAAAAGGAAGATGCTTGAATTTTATGTTTTATATCCTATGCCCATAATATTGACAATCTGTAATTTATTATTTGATTCAAACAATTTTTTTTTAATATGTAAATTTAAAGAAAAACATGTTTGAAATGTTTTTTCTTTGAATGAATACAAAATATTCCACACAGTATTTAATATTCATGACTATATGAATTTTGTTTTTATTTCCAAATTGTATGAAGCATTACATGAAAATGTTTTCTTAATAATAATCAATTGTTCCTTCCTCCAGAATTCAGCCACCTATTGGGAAGGAAATTGTGAAGCCGAGAGCTTGCAGCGTATTTATGGAATATCATTCCCAGATACAAAACAACTGAAGGAATGGAAGACATTCCAAGAGGAAGCAGCCAAGAGGGACCACAGGAAATTAGGACGGGTAAGTTACGTAGTAGGATGTTTTGGAATTGAATGTATTGGTTTATGTGCAATTTACTGCAGCACTGTTAGAAGAGTTTTTCTCATTGTGCCAGGTGATTTTATTTTTCATGGAAACAGGTCGTACAAACTTATGTTTTTTGAGAATAGAGTTGGTTTTAATGATGAAAAAAGTACAGGGAACTTTATGCTGTCAAGATTGGAATAATAATGTACACTAAGATATAACGCACTTATTTTTATGTGTTTGGTAACTGACTATGTGGTAACTGACTAAAGTACTTGGTTCAGATGATGACTTACGTGGAGGTATCAGATTGTTCAGTGAAGAGTAATCATATCTGATGAGCCTAACCAATGATTAAGTAGCCTACTTTGCACACTGGTAAATTTAACATGTCAGCATGTATGGCTCATATGGTGTTTCCAAACTTCTAGTCAGTTTCTGTAATGCTGCCCTCTGATATGACTAATCTAGTGTACAGAGAACTGTGTGTGAGCTATGCAATGTTGGAAAAAGGAAGATGCTTGAATTTTATGTTTTATATCCTATGCCCATAATATTGACAATCTGTAATTTATTATTTGATTCAAACAATTTTTTTTTAATATGTAAATTTAAAGAAAAACATGTTTGAAATGTTTTTTCTTTGAATGAATACAAAATATTCCACACAGTATTTAATATTCATGACTATATGAATTTTGTTTTTATTTCCAAATTGTATGAAGCATTACATGAAAATGATTTCTTAATAATAATCAATTGTTCCTTCCTCCAGAATTCAGCCACCTATTGGGAAGGAAATTGTGAAGCCGAGAGCTTGCAGCGTATTTATGGAATATCATTCCCAGATACAAAACAACTGAAGGAATGGAAGACATTCCAAGAGGAAGCAGCCAAGAGGGACCACAGGAAATTAGGACGGGTAAGTTACGTAGTAGGATGTTTTGGAATTGAATGTATTGGTTTATGTGCAATGTACTGCAGCACTGTTAGATATACTATGTATATCCCCAGAAGAGTTTTTCACATTGTGCCAGATGTTTGTGGCTTACTGAAAATCAACTAGTCACTAAGTGCAATCTTGGTAGTCTAGTGGTTATGGCACCAGGCTAGTTATCTGGAGGTCATGTGTTTGATTGCCACCTGAATTACTTGCAAATGTTTCTGCAAGTATTAGGAACGTACTGAGTATTGGGTACGATAACACATTGGGTAGGAAAAAACATCACTCCTACAAATGATTGATGTCTTGCTCCTTCGATCTACCATTGGAATTGCAATCACAGACATTATAAAAGACAATTACAATCATCTTGCCACATTTCTATTGAGTGTTTGTTATAAAATCTTGTTACTTTATCATTTCTCTTTATCTAGGACCAGGAGCTGTTTTTCTTTCATGAGCTAAGCCCAGGCAGTTGTTTCTTCCAGCCTAAGGGAGCACATATCTACAACACCCTTGTTGACTACATCAAAGTAGGTTGCCTTGGCTTTCCGTAGCCTACCAATGCAAAAACAAAAACTAAATATGAAAAGAAAAATAGAATTTATTAAGATAATTTAATTAACACTAACATTTTTCCGTAGTCTGAGTACCGTAAGCGAGGATTCCAGGAAGTGATCAGCCCTAACATCTACAACAGTAAGTTGTGGATGACATCAGGCCATTGGCAGCACTACCAGGTAGAATCTATTTTTTTTTTTTTATGCCGCAAGCACACTACTTTTTTGTCATAAATAGCCCAATGCGAAACAGCCCAGGAAACTTAAATCTCAGGAAAAACATATCGAGGCAAGCAGTAGTTTAATTGTGCCCATAAAAAGCTGACAAGATTAGTTTTACCGTACCGGCCAGTCCAGTGGGAACACACATCTCGGTTAAACCTCACAAGTTAATTGAGTGTTACTCAATGGATTATGTCACAGATTAGTGGACCATTTCTTGTAGTATTACTAACTGACTCAAAAAAATCCAAGTGGGACAGTATTAAGATTTATCCATTGTAATGTTACCCATGGTCTTAGTAAAATCTTCCCTTTTTGTAAGTCCAGTGCTAATTCGATTTTATGTCTGTAAAATGCTTTCAAAATCAACCTTTTATTGTTAATTTATTAATAATATTTTTTGCAGGACAATATCTTCAAGTTTGATGTAGAGAAGGAAACATTTGCTTTGAAACCAATGAACTGTCCAGGCCATTGGTAAGAGAAAAAACACACTTTACAGACATTTTACATAAAAGATTCTTAAAGAACAAAGAAGAACATATAAACTGTATTATTATTTATTATGATCCATTACTTGAAATATCTTCTTGTTATAATTTATTTATTAAAATCTAACAAAATTAGTAAAGTAAGCAAATCAACTATTGAATTTTATAAACACATATAATTAACAAATTTATCTATTTTTGTTGTCTAGCCTTATATTTGACCACCGTCCAAGGTCTTGGCGGGAACTTCCATTCCGAATGGCTGACTTTGGTGTTCTTCATCGAAATGAATTATCAGGTGCTCTCTCTGGTCTGACCAGAGTACGTAGGTTTCAGCAAGATGATGCCCATATCTTCTGTGTCCAAGATCAGGTATGGACACAGTCAGTGATGACGATTATAATGAAAAATGTTAATGATTATGATGATGATAAGGATGGTGATAAAAATAATTAAAAAAATAACAATGATAATATTATATAATATAAAATGTATATTATGTCCAGAAATGAAGAGGCCCTCCCATATAATAGAGAAAATCATTGAATCATAGTAGTGCGAAATAATTATCATGTTGGCCATCTGTTTCAGATTAAAACAGAGATAGCTGGATGCTTTGACTTCTTAAAGGCTGTGTATAGTGTGTTTGGATTCACATACAAGCTAGCCCTCTCTACCAGACCCAAGACTTTCTTGGGTGAGATTCAAATGTGGGATGATGCTGAGAAGGTACGTACCACTAGGCCTGCCAACACAATTTTTTTGGGGTATCTGAGGTAAATCAGCCTGTAGCATCTGCTCGATTAAAATAGGCTGGGACATTTAAGGTGAGGCTTGTAATGCCCTAACTACAGAAACATTCAACAGTTTTAGGATATCAGGAATTTTATTTGATACTCTGGCAATGGTCTGCCATCTTAAATTTTAAAACAAATGAATAAACTCCAAGCTGCAACTGCTAATTGTAAATGGAATTGATGTTTCAACAAATTCAATATTGCTCTTCCTTTCATATAAAGATTGTTTATCTAAAACCTTGGCTCAGATGATGACTTAGATTGAGGTCTCCAGATAGTTCAATGAGGAGTGATCATATCTGATGAGCTTATAATCATCAAACTAATTGTTAAACTTAATTCAACTGAAATTAACCCCAAAAATATTAGATAAATAATTAACAATACATTGGAACATTTATTTCTGGTTTATTTTCTTCTCTTTCTTGTTAACGGCTTCAAGATTGTGACAACGTGAGGCACTATATAAATCCAGAATTATTACTAATTATCATTTATCTAATTAATAACTGGTGAACTAAAATATTCAACTTTAGGATTTATAAAATTTGGTGTTATTTAGTGAGTGGTTTGATGGCAATCGGGATGAGAACAGCTTAGTACAGAGGTCACCACCATGTGCTGAACCTTGGGTCTTGGCTCAATTCTGCCACTACTGTTTATGTGTTTCAGCCCGTGCACTGAAATGCTATTTAATAATAATAATAATAATAGTGTAGTTTGATATAGCGCACAAATCCATCTAATGTAAGATGCTCAGGGCGCTTGAAATGTGGACTAGGAACTCGATCAATGACT